TTTCCATTGAACCCTCTGCCAGCAAGCCCGCCTGTACTTGCAGCTGACTCCGACAAAGCTGACCAGGCTGGGGCTCATCTTCAGGGCCTCGGCCTTCCAAGCCCCCGTTGCTTCTGGCCTCTCCCTGTGCCTGTGCCGAGCAATGATCAGAGCCCTGGGCACGATCTCATCACTGGACGGCTAACACAGAGTCACCGTGGTGAAGACAGGACACGGGATTTCCAGCTCAGGACAGGCTCAAGGTGACCACAGCCATCAAGCAACCCTCCTACCTGGTCTTCAAGACCCAGCCACTGAGCACAAATGTGGAATTATTGTCATCATGACACACAAAGAAGAAATCTTTTTTAAGACTCGGTCACACAAAGGTCCAAGTCCCTTCCTGTACCTACTATAAACCCAAGTCCCAGGTAAAGGGGCCTTCGAGGATCCTGGGTGTGGACCACCACCTCTTACAGCTGGGCAGAGGCAGTGGCTCCTGGGCCACATCCGCTGGAATTCAACCTGGCTCTGCCGTTTTCCACCCACGAGGCTTCAGAAAGTTACTGGGTCTCCCGCGACTCAGTCTCCTCATCTGCAAAGTGGAGGCAGGGTTCTTGTGAGAATGAAGTCACCTCACATTCGCCCGGGCAGTGCGCAGTCAGTGCCTGGGTGCCACTGCGCTGGACGTGTTGCCACGGTGCCACGAGGCCTGGCTGTGTGGCCAGGGTCGTCTGAGGGCACCTCGATGGGGCTACAGTGCTTCTCTGAGCATCTCTGGTGCTCCTGGCATTGAGACCCAGCTTGGTAGCTTGCAGCAGGTAACGCCCAGCCCCAGGCTCCTCAGAGAGGGGTGATCACGCCCCACCCCACTCAAGCCCCACCTATGCACCAGTCTCCAAGGGGCCCGAGGGAAAACGCGCCAAGCTGCCTTGCGATTTATTTGTAGTTTTTGTGTGGAAGTGAAGGAAGTGGACTTTGGGGGACAGAGCTCTACGCACTATAGCACATTCCTGGGACCGCCACCAACACAAGGGCACCCCACTGCTCCCGGCGAGGGACACTGCTTCTTAACCTTTCAAGTGCTCTGCAAAGGTCAGTGACAGAGTCCACAAGCGGGCATCCACAGAGGTCCATCCAAGGAGGAGCCTCGAGGCCAGCACACTTCCCAGGAAACAAATCCTCTCGGAGCCAAAGCCACCCGCTCCAGCTGCCCCGCACCGGCTGCCGTGCCTGGCCCCCTCGGGGCTCACCCTCTCTTCCCAGCTCTTCGGTCAGCTGCTACCTCACAGGCACCAGGCCCACCAGGCCCACCAGGCACCTCCCGTGACCCTTTCCCCACAGCCTGCCTCACCCCACAAGCTGTGCACCTTGGCTCTCCTGCTCACTGCCCGTTTTCTGCCCCCAAAGCACACCTGCGGTCCTAAGTGTCCCCGGATGTGCCTGCCCCAGGCCCCTACCGCGCCGCTCAGCACACACATTTGCTAAGTGAACCTGTAGCAAACCACGGGTCTAACACTCAGGCCTGCCTGAGTGAGACGAATCCCCGCTCTCTACAGATAGTCCCAGAAGGCCACGTCGACGCCTGCTGAACAGCACTGCAGCCTGCAAGGACAAGCACGGGCCCTGCCCAGGAGAATGCGCCACGGTAGCACACTCCCCTGACTCAGTCTCCGGCTCGCTGACTGACAAGCTGTTTCCCCCCCATCGGGAGCCAGCCTTTGGGCAGCAAGGCTGAAATCCACGGGGACAGCATGGCTAGGGCTTCATCAATACGTCGAGCACGGAGGGAGGGTCTCGGGGTCGGTTGGGGGCTGCACGCTGTGCCCCTCAGGTTGCAAAGCTGAGAGAAGCTTAAAGAAAAACAAGGTCAACCCAGCCTCTGTGGAGGCCGCGGCTCCATCTCCCCCGCAGGCTCTGCACACTGAGCTCCTCCCGGCCACGTGGGCTGGAAGAGTTCCAGGCCTCCCTCAAGGGCTGGGTCTCCGAGAGCCGCAGGGCTCTTCCCCGGGAGAACCTGGGTGTGCAGCCCCGGAGGCTCTGGCTTCTGCACCAGCTCCCAGTGCTGGGGCTACGCGGTGTTGGGAGGCCTGCAGGAAAATGGGGGTACGGTGAGGGGGGGGCCCTTCATCTCCCCAGCTGGGGGCAATAGAGAAATCCCAAAGCAGAGCCGCTAAACAAGTCCACGTGAGCAAGCACTGACAGGCAGCAGTGAAAGCATCTGAGCGCCTGTAGCTGACGCAGCCATAACCGAGCCATCAGCAGAACATCACAGCGTCCACTGGTAACAGACACTGCAGAGCCCTCAGCGGCACCGCCAGGCCTGCCTGGCTTTGCCTCAGCAGCGGGCTGCTGGCCGGGGATGCCCGAAGGTCCCGTCACTATGCTCTGCTCCATGCTCCACTCTGCTCTCCAGGCCTGGCTCGGGGCTGTCAGGCCCCTCGACTGCTGCCCGAGGCCTCGCAGAATCAGTGCAGGGGACTTCAGTAACACAGGCTGTCTGTGAAATACGCCTGTGCTCAGTGTGTCCATGCTGGGCAGAGAGGGGCGCCCCGTGGTGGCCAGCCAGGGCCCCTGGGGAGACTCTCCTGACGGTGGGCATATCTCTGTGCACCACCACCCCCCACCTCTCTGGCACCTTGCAGGGCTCATGCGGTGTGTGCTGGCCCTCCTGCAGACAGCCACCTCTGACTGCACAGCCTGCTCTCTGCCAGGGCCACGTGGGGTCATCAGTGTGACCTTTGCCCCGCACCCCACTGCTCCCAGGCTGGAGGAAAGGACTCGGGCCCTGCTCCGGAGATGGCTGGGCTCCAGGCAGCCTATGCAGGACCCACAGGACGCACACTTGACTCTGCAGGGGTCACCCTGCGGCCGTTCTACGCAATGCTCTGCTCTCAGAGGCACAGGAAGGAAGCCGGTGTGGGGGCTCGCTGGATCTGGGGAGGATCCAGACCGTCACCCAGGCTGCTGTCCCCACCAGCTCGGCCCACAGCGCTCTGCCCCGCAGCATCCACAAGGGAGCTGGGCACCCAGAGACTAGCACCGCTACACACCGGAGCGCAGGAAGGAAGCCTGGGAACTTTTATGCCGCTGTTCGACCTCATCCGTGCATTTCTTCTCCTCCTTCCCTTTTTAAGGACGACCCAGAAGCCAGGCCTGTGCTCTGCCCCGAGCTACGTCCTCCACATCTTTTTCCTTTTCTATTTTGAGACAGGGTCAGTTGTCTGGTTGGCCTCAAACTGTGTTTCTCCTGCCTCAGCTTCCTGAGCGGCTGACCTTGCAGGTGTGCACGGCCACACCCAGGTCGTAAATTTTTTTCTCTGCCTATGTTTTATTAGCAAAGTACTCATGACACAGAAAAGGGAATATATTCGTGATGAGGTGGGCAATTTGTCCCTGTCACTCCTGGCCTCAGTTCTTTGTCCCTCTGGGCAGCTGCTTGTCCAGTGCTTCTGCAGCCCCTCCCGCTGGAGCTGACACTCAGGCAAACCTCGAGAGTTCACCACCTTTGACCCAAGAGCTGAGGAGACATCAGCCAGGCCACTGCCACAGGAAAACCTGTCCGTAGGCCTCGGGATGAGGGAGCAACGGAGACTCGAAGGGGAGGCCCACATGCAGGCTTCCGAGAGCCCTCAGAGGGGCCCAGCCACGACTGTCAGCCCCGGCAACCTGGAGACACACGTCCAGGGCACCGCTGGTCAACACGCTGCTCCTTTACCCCACGATACACCCTCTCGGGGGCCAGGGCTGGTCCAGGCCCACGCTCCTCTCTCTAACCAGCCAGGCTCACTGCACGCCGGCAGCCAGCTGTCCGACGGGCCCCCAGGATCTGATTCCTACCTCACTTCCATCCTGGCCTGGGGTCCTGGTGCCTCCTGCAGGACCAGCTCCCGGCCTGGGCAGCAGCTGAGACCCCCATGCTTGCCCCCCTTCTGGAGTCAGGGAGCGGGGTTCTGCTTCCTTGACGCCTCGGTGAGTCTGAGATTGTGAGGCCCGGCTTCCGTGCACGCCAGGCAGCTCCGTCTCCAGATGTGCCAGCATGGCGAGAGGGCTGTGGACACCACTGGGCAGCTCGGCCCGAGGCCTCCCGCCTGGACCTAGCTCCTCGGCAGCAGCCCAGCCAGCGCCCATCTGCACTCTCCTACGGAGCTCAGGGTGCTCTGAGGCCAGGCACAGCACATGGTGGCCCCAGTGTGGGGTCCCCCAGCACACCTGCTGCACCCGCGTGCACCCCGCCTGCTCATGCTCGAAAGCGGCAGCAGCAGCCCCATCTTTGGGATGTCTGCATCCCGGCCGGAAGGGGCCCTCTTGGGCTGCGCCTTCTCAGGGGAGGCCCCTTCCCCTTCCCCTTCCCCCTTCCCTCCCCTCCCCTCCTCTTCCTCCCCCTCCCCTCCCCCTCTTCCCCTCCCCTGCCCTCCCCTCCCCCTATCCTCCTCCCCTTCTCCCCCTATCCTCCTCCCCCTCTCCCCTCCCCCTCTCCCCCATCCTCCTCCCCCTCCCCTTCCCCTCCTTTCCTTCCCCCTCCCCCTCCTCCTCCCAGCACTCCTTCCTCTCTCCCTTTCTCCTGCAAGGCACAGCCGCTCTGTCAGCAGCCAGCTGTCAGTCTGAAGCAAACCTGTCACTCAATGTGAGACACGATTTTATAGTGTTTCCAGCGTCCAATTAACTGCTGTCGTTACTGAGAGCCTCTAACCTGCCAAACATTCAGAGATATAAATATTCACATCTATCTCTACACACGCAGCACACACACAGCACATATGCACATACACACACCCCTCCGCATAGCACACAGGGACAAGTTTTCAGTTCAGACACACCAAGGGTCCACCGTCAAGTTTCACGTTTCCTTAAGTGACTAAGGTGAACACTTCGCAGGGGTTCAGTCGTGTATCCAGGATCTCACAGCAGGCTGGGGGCAGAAGCTGGCCCCTCACACCCGGCAGACCTCGGACCCCGAACAGCACCTCAGAGCCTCCAGTTCACAACCTCACTTTAGGAATCAAGAGACCAGAGCCCCGCAGAGCGAAGTGGCTTTTACTTTACGTGGTTCTCTGAAGCCTCACAACGGCCTCTCGAGACCTGGCTCTCGCTGACCCCTCCCCGCATCACAGATGTGGGGCACGAAGAGTGGCCAGGCCCGCAGCCCTGGGCAGGTGGTGAGCGGGGTCCACCCCAACAGGCTGCGGCCTGAGCTGCACGCAGAGCGCTCTGAGCAGAGGGTTAGTGCAGTCGGCCTGCTCTTCCTCTCCAGGGTCACGCGTGGCTCAGGCCTCCCTGGGTTATTTCAGCCCCTTCTTCTCAGCATCCAGCCAGGGGCCGCTTGTGGGACACCGACGTGGCCGGGTCCAGAGCGACCAAGCACTTGCATCTCTGCCGTCCAGTAGGGCAGGCAGATGGCCTCTTAGGGCAGCCATGGCGCAGCCTGGCAGTGCGGGGTTGCAGTCTCCATGTCGGATGGTCACGGTGCTGGCTGGGCTGAGCCTGGGCGGGATGGCCTCTCGGGAACACAGGCGCTGCTCACCCTGTGACAGGGTCACAAACTACCGTGAATGGGAGAGACCACGCAGAGCAAACACAAAGAAGCCACCTACCCCGCTGCACGTCCCTGCTCAGCAAAGCACGCGGGGGACACTGCTGGTGGCCCGGTGACTGTGTGGCTGCTGGGAGCTGTGTCTCAAGGACACCAGCAGCTCTGAGAGGAGGGACCCCGGAGGTCACTAGCAGAGTATAGCTCCTGTCATCACAGAATCAAGCGCCTTCCTGTCATCATAAAACTGGAAGTTGTTAAGGATGGACCACAGGTGATCCTGATGATGAGGGTGGTGACGATGGTCGTGGTGGTGCTGAGCTGGTGACTACGCACTGAGCCACCTGTTCACCATGGCACGGATGATTCCCAGCCCTCCCAACGTCTGGCTGGAAATGCTGCACCCCATTTCACAGACGTAGAAACCAAGGCACCGCGATGACAGGTGATGTTCGGCTCCAGCAGCCCTGCTCCAACACACACAGAGGCCGCCGGACACATGTGCCATCCTCCTCACTCCCGGGGTCCCGCTGCAGCCTACGGTTACACCACACACAGGGAGTGGCAGAGCTAAGCTTCACCATCCTGCTCTCAGCCCTCAGGCAAGGTGATCCCAACTTAGGCCCACTGAGGCATCGAGGAGCCCGGGTCTCCCTTGGGAACCACTCTGGGGAGCCACAGGACGAGCTCCGACGCTCAGAAAGCCCTGGGGCCCCCACGACTCCTCACACCGTGGCTCCGCCTTCCACCCCCCTCCCTGCCTGACGCTTTCCTGCCTTCTGCAGCTCGTCCCATGTGGCACAGCCCACTCAGCCCATCACCCACTCCCGTGAGCGTGTGCCACCCACTGGTCAGGACAGAGCGGCTGCTGGGTGCTCGGAAGCACTCAGTGCACTCAGCACTGTGGGTCTGGGGAAACGTACAGCATCTCAGGTGCAGAGTCTGGTACCAAGCCTGGCCTTGGAATGAAGCAGAAGCAGGCACCTGGAGCCCCTGGGAGAAAACCAGCACTGCCACGACCCGGGGCACAAGGGCTTTCCTTTCTAGAGACAAAGGGACCTTCTGGAAGGTTCTCCCAGGCTGCCATGTTCTTGAGGATGCAAAGCCAGAGACAGGACACCTGGATGAAGCTACCAACAAGACAGACACAGCAGGAGCAAGAGAGACAGGAACAGAGCTAACTAGAGAGAGAGAGAGAGACGTGCCCTGAAAGGTGGAGACAGGGAGACAGAGGCAGCAACGGGTAGAGGCCCGCGCTCCCGGGGCCCATCTCTCACCGCTGGTGCTGAGGTCCCTTCTAAGGCAGGGCAGACGCTGGCTGCTCCAGGCATCGGGCCCCCCTGGGGACTCCAGCAGGGACAGTGAGGTGGGGCCAGCAGCAGCACACTGGTGTCCCGAGCAGTTCCCAAGGCTCCTCCTCCACTGCCCCTCAGGAACGGCCCCGCTGGTGTGTGGTGTCACTAGGAAGGGGAGTGTCTCCGGTGACATCTCCCACCTGCCTCCACATCCGCCTCCTGCAGCTCAGTGGTTAGCACCAGCCTCCCAGCGGCTGTCAGCAACCTGACCAGTCTCGGCTCTGCTCCGGCCTCCTGGACACCCCAACTGACCCTTTGTGAGGTCATCCCACTCTGCCCTTCAGTGGTCCCCGGGTATCTGGGGCAGAAGTCAGCCTTCTTTCATGCTTTTGGAGCTACCACACTCTGGGCTGGTTTATCCTCAGCTTCCCCATCCCAGCTGGCCTTCTAGCTCTCCAGCAGGCACTTCCCTCTCCAGTATTCGTCAGGCCTTGGCACTTCCATCCCATCTGGAACGTTTTCTTGCTCCTGCTCCCTTCAGTGTCACCTTCTTAGACTCCATTTCCTATCAGACTGGGAAGGGTGTCATTTCCTGTCAGACTCCAGTGAGATTACCTGTCAGACTCCATCGGGAAGGGTGTCATTTCCTGTCAGACTCCAATGAGATTACCTGTCAGACTCCATCGGGAAGGGTGCCATTTCCTGTCAGACTCCAGTGAGAAGGATGTCATTTCCTGTCAGACTTCAGTGGGAAGGGTGTCAATTCCTGTCAGACTCCACTGGGAAGGGTGTTAATTCCTGTCAGACTACAGTGGGAACGGTGTCATTACCTGTCAGACTCCACTGGGAAGGGTGCCATTTCTTGTCAGACACCAGTGGGAAGGATGTCAATTCCTATCAGACTCCAGTGGGAAGGGTGTCATTTCCTGTCAGACTCCAGTGGGAATGGTGTCATTTCCTGTCAGACTGTAGTGCGAAGGATGTCATTTCCTGTCAGACTCCAGTGGGAAGGGTGTCATTTCCCGTCAGACTCCACTGGGAAGGGTGTCATTTCCTGTCAGGCTGTAGTGCAAAGGATGTCATTTCCTGTCAGATTCCACTGGGAAGGGTGTCATTTCCTGTCAGACTCCAGCAGGAAAGGTGTTAATTCCTGTCAGATTCCACTGGGAAGGGTGTCATTTCCTGTCAGACTCCAGCAGGAAAGGTGTTAATTCCTGTCAGACTCCACTAGGAAGGCTGTCATTTCTTGTCAGACTCCAGCAGGAATGGTGTCACTTACTGTCAGGCTTCAGTGGGAAGGGTGTCAATTCCTGTCAGTCTTCACTGGGAAGGGTGTCATTTCCTGTCAGACTCCAGTGACAAAGGTGTCACTTCCTGTCAGACTCCATTGGGAAGGGTGTCAATTCCTGTCAGACTCCAGCAGGAAGAGTGTCATTTCCTGTCAGACTCCAGCAAGAAAGGTATCATTTCCTGTCAGATTACAGTGGGAAGGGTGTCATTTCCTGTCAGACTCCAGTGAGAAAGGTGTCACTTCCTGTCAGACTCCAGTGGGAAGGGTGCCATTTCCTGTCAGACTGTAGTGTGAAGAATGTCATTTCCTGTCAGACTCCACTGGGAACGGTGTCATTTCCTGTCAGACTCCAGCAGGAAGGGTGTCATTTCCTGTCAGACTCCAGCAGGAAGGGTGTCATTTCCTGTCAGACTACAGCGGGAAGGGTATCATTTCCTGTCAGACTTCAGCGGGAAGGTGTCAATTCCTGTCAGACTCCAGTGGGAAGGGTGTCATTTCTTGTCAGACTCCAGCAGGAATGGTGTCACTTCCTGTCAGGCTTCAGTGGGAAGGGTGTCAATTCCTGTCAGTCTTCACTGGGAAGGGTGTCATTTCCTGTCAGACTCCAGTGAGAAAGGTGTCACTTCCTGTCAGACTCCATTGGGAAGGGTGTCAATTCCTGTCAGACTCCAGTGGGAAGGGTGTCATTCCTGTCAGTCTTCACTGGGAAGGGTGTCATTTCCAGTCAGAATCCAGTGAGAAAGGTGTCACTTCCTGTCAGACTCCCCTGGGAAGGGTGTCATTTCCTGTCAGACTCCAGTGAGAAAGGTGTCACTTCCTGTCAGACTCCACTGGGAAAGGGGTCATTTCCTGTCAGACTCCAGCAGGAAGAGTGTCATTTCCTGTCAGACTCCAGCAGGAAGGGTGTCATTTCCTGTCAGACTCCAGCAGGAAGGGTGTCATTTCCTGTCAGACTCCAGTGAGAAAGGTGTCACTTCCTGTCAGACTCCCCTGGGAAGGGTGTCATTTCCTGTGAGACTCCAGTGAGAAAGGTGTCACTTCCTGTCAGACTCCACTGGGAAAGGGGTCATTTCCTGTCAGACTCCAGCAAGAAGGGTGTCATTTCCTGTCAGACTCCAGCAGGAAGGGTGTCATTTCCTGTCAGACTCCAGCAGGAAGGGTGTCATTTTTGTCAGACTACAGCGGGAAGGGTATCATTTCCTGTCAGACTTCAGTGGGAAGGGTGTCAATTCCTGTCAGACTCCAGTGGGAAGGGTGTCATTTTCTCTCAGACTCCAGTGGGAAGGGTGTCATTTTCTCTCAGACTCCAGCGGGAAGGGTATCATTTCCTGTCAGACTTCAGCAGGAATGGTGTCATTTCCTGTCAGACTTCAGCGGGAAGGGTGTCAATTCCTGTCAGACTCCAGTGGGAAGGGTGTCATTTTCTCTCAGACTCCAGCGGGAAGGGTATCATTTCCTGTCAGACTTCAGCAGGAATGGTGTCATTTCCTGTCAGACTTCAGTGGGAAGGGTGTCAGTTCCTGTCAGTCTTCACTGGGAAGGGTGTCATTTTCTCTCAGACTCCAGTGGAAATGGTGTCATTTCCTGTCAGACTCCAGTGGGAAGGGTGTCAATTCCTGTCAGACTGCAGTGGAAAGCGTGTCATTTCCTGTCAGACTCCAGTGGGAAGGGTGTCAATTCCTGTCAGAGTGCAGTGGAAGGGTGTCATTTCCTGTCAGACTCCAGTGGGAAGGGTGTCAATTCCTGTCAGACTCCACTACCAAGGGTGTCATTTCCTGTCAGACTCCAGTGGGAAGGGTGTCAATTCCTGTCAGACTGCAGTGGAAAGCGTGTCATTTCCTGTCAGACTTCAGTGGAAGGGTGTCATTTCCTGTCAGACTCCAGCAGGAAGGGTGTCAATTCCTGTCAGACTGCAGTGGAAAGCGTGTCATTTCCTGTCAGACTCCAGTGGGAAGGGTGTCATTTCCTGTCAGAGTGCAGTGGAAGGGTGTCATTTATTAAGCTTCTGCAGGAAATGCCGCAGACCTCTATTCCCAGGGCCTTGCTCAGGGCCAGCCTCTTGGGGCCCCATACATGGTGGTCACGAGGCACCATCAATGGCACACTCTGACACCCTGGGTATCACCAGCTGGGCTCTAGTCGGGCGAGCCCTGGGAAGGGAACCCCACACTGTGGCACCTCTCTGCTTCGTGAGTCAGTCTGCCCAGTGGGGAGTACTGAGTCTCAGACATGGTTGGTCTCCGCAAATCTCTCAGTGGGGTTCAGTTCTTTGTGCAGGGTGCTGGAAGGTGGTGCCCAAGGGAGGTGCCTAGGGCATGGGAGGAGCCCTGATGAGCGGGTTAGCACTGAGTTGGCTTCTGTGGAAGCCAGCTGTGCTAAGGCACGGAGGCCCTGGAGCTTTGTCCCTTCTTCTGCCATGCGATGCCATCAGCCCCGGACCCTCACGGGGTGCAGCTGCCCCCAGAACCATGAACCAACAAAACCCTTCCTCTTTGTGAGCTCACTAACCTCGGGCACTCTGCTGCAGCCCCAGAAAGTGGACTAATGCAAGCAGCCTGGGTGCAGACGAGAGAACCGACCTGTGCTGGGTCACGCACGTGGCCAGGTCAAGGCGAAGTGGGCCCAGAGTGGGCCTCGCACGTCTCCCCTCCTCCTGCCTCCCCAGTTACCACAGTTTAAACGCGGTCGGTCCTCAGGATCCTCCGGGGCCTCCTTGCTCTCGCCTCAGCCTCACCCACAGGGAGCACTTCCCCTGCGTGACCCAGAGCAACGCCGCCCTGAGGCTGGCTGCCCGCTGCAGCTGCTGACAGGCAGCACAGAGGCTCGGTAACTGCAGCCAGCCCGGGGAGGACGCGCTGCTGTTGCCCATGTTACCACGGGAAGGCGGAGGCTCAGAGACCGAGCTGCCTCCGGACGCCGCGTGCAGCATCACGTGCAGCTCCCCCCACCATCGCGCTCGCCCACTCGGGGTGCGGCCCTTCCACCACCAGGACCCCTGGCTGCACCCCGTCTCTCTTGGCCGCTCAGCCACAGAGAGTTCGGGGTCAATGACTCTTAGGGTGGCACCACAGCGGGCTCTGCAGGGCACTTCGCCTCAGAGCACTGAATCCAGCACCGGCTCAGGCAGCTCAGGAACAGCAGAGGTCAGGTGCTGTCGCTGGAGTCCAGGAACCAGCCCTGGGCACACTCTCTCTCTCACACACACACACACACACACACACACACACACACACACACACTCTCCAGCAGCTGTGCTATCCTGGGATAGCAAACCTTCCAAGCTTTCCGTGATAACAGACAGCTGGCTGGGCACACGTGAGAAAAGACTAGAAGCAAGAGCTCAGCCGATGGAGAGGACGGACTCGGCGTCCTGAGCCACCATCCCTCCTCGCACCCCACAGCATTTCCTGCACCCAGAGGTGGCTGAGCTTTGGCCAGGCAGCTGTGGCGTCCCCGCGGGCCATACCTCTGTGACCTAAGGGTTGATGACGTGTGACAGCAGGGAGGCAGGGTTTTCAGGCCCCGCTGGTGTCCGGGAGGCGACCACCTCCTGGGACGGCTGGGGCGGGGATTCGGCGCCCCTTCAGCTGTGGAAAGAGCCGTCTGAGGCACCCACTGGCCACACGCTTGTCTCCCCACCCTGCTCTTTCATCTCTGCTCTTAATTTTTTAATGACAAATGTCTTCTCACGTCTTTTCCCTCCAGCATGTGGACCTGCTGGGGGACAGAGGCCTTCTCAGCAAGCTTGTGACACGTGAGGCTTCTAAGGACGCAGACCTCGGCATGACACCGGGGCCCCGGAGGCGGCCAGGGTGGCTGGAGGGGTGGTGAGGAATGGTGACCCGGGACTGGACAGCCAGGGCCACAGAGGGGTCTGGACCAGGAGCCGGGCTGCAGCTCAATGGCCAGGAGTGGCTGAGGCTGCCTACAGGAGCTGGGGGCCGGAGGGTACAGGGCTGCAGGTGGCAGTGGGCTGGGCAGGGCTTCGTGGCCTCCCCGTCCCAAGTTCCCAGGCCTGCGCAGGGCTGGCTGCAGCGGGGCTGGAAACCTGCACACCACACTGGCCAGCGGTCCAGCTGCCCTCGCCCTCCTTATGAAGCCCTGGGGCACAGCCTAAGCTTTCCTCCTCCTCTGCAGGCACCAGACCTCACATCCTGGCAGGGCCGGGAAGCGGAGGATGCTCACAGAGGAGACACAACACGTCTATGCCACCCAGGCAGCACGGCGTGCAGCCAGGACTCACACTCAGGGCTGCCTGGCCCAAAGGCTGACGCTCAGCCCAATGCCCATGAGGCCCCAGGTAGGGGCTCTGGCTTCTGTACAGTGTAGGTCAAAACACCCCAAAAGTCCTGTGTGCTTGAGTTGGGGAGACTGGACCTCAGGGCCCTGTGCTCACCGGAGCGTTGACCGCAGGAGGAGCTCAGGCTGAACGTGCGGTAGGAGGCGGGGCTGCTTGGCACTGGCCCTGCAGGTGCCTGGGAAGGAGCGTTCCTGTCCCGGGCTCTTCCTTTTGCTCTGTTTCCTGGCCACCGTGGGGTGAGCACCTTTCCTCCGCCAGGCCTTTTGTCCAGCTGTGGACTGAATCCTCTGGAAGCCGTGAACCTCCCCACCTTTAAGCTGTGGGTGTGGGGTGCTCGGTCCTAGTGACAGGGAAATGGCCGATGCAGCGTTGCGGCAGTCACTGCTTGGCGTCCAGGGGAGGGGTTCCTGAAGCCCTGCAGATGCCAAGCTCTGCAGCCGCTCAAGTCTTTTACATAAAAGTTCCAGGTGTTTGCAAGCAACCACCCAGGCCTTTCCCATGCGTCAGGTCACCTCTGGGTCACTTCCAACAGCTACTGGGAAGTCAAAGCTGTGGAAAGACCTGTTGAGCTGTAAGGGTCGAGGAGGGCACGTGTTGAGGTCAGATGCAGTTTTTTCCCAAACACTTCTGACCCCCGGTTGGTGGGACCCCCGGGTGTAAACGGCCTACTGAATGATAGCCTTATAACAGTGCTCCCAGCATGCTTCGGTTCTTCATGCACACGTCATGCTCCTGAAACTCTGCAGCCCCCTCCCACCCCCTCGCTCCTCCCCACACTGATTCCCACTGCAATCCTCACCATCACCAAAGGCAACACAGACTGTTCTGCAGCCCTCGCTTGAATGGGATGCCCAGGAAGACAAGGGCCATGTGATCCTCCCTGTCCCACCGCCGGGACTGACCGGAAGGGCCTGCACCTGGCGTCATTCAGGAGAACCAGAAGCGCCCCCTCCCAGGGGATCAATGGTCCTTTATAGATGCTGGGACAGGGATCGTATCAAGTGAGCCTGTAACAGCCCTTCACACCCACCCCAGTCTCCTGCACATCCCTCTCTGAATCACAGCTACCAACTTCATAACAAACACATCTGACTGCATCACGTCCTGCTGAGACACGGCAGCCCAAGGCCTGAGCCGGCCAGCGAGGCACCAGACGCCTCCTGCCCTGCCCACTTCGCCTCTGCTTCCTCTTGGACCACAGTGCACTTGTTCACCAGGGCTCTTGCACACTCGCACACGGGACCACACAGGGCCTACCTGCGGGGACCGTCCTTTTCCTGCCCCTCCACGTCCCTTCGCAGCCCTCTAGATCAGGAAACCCTGCATCTTTCTGAGGTCAGCTCTGAGCATCCTGAGAGCTACACCCTCCCGCTGCCAAGGAAAGTTCCAGTCTTTCCAGACGGGGGCAGCACACAGCTTCTGCAGCTGCCCGAGGTCTCTGCACAGCAAACCCCTGTGCCCTGCCCCTGCATCTCCACGATTACACATGAAACCTTTGTCTTATGGTGGTTGGAGACCAGCCTGGGGGTGGTGAGGTCAGGATGAGCATGGTGTCCCCAAAAGGAGACACAGCTCATTTCCTCTCCCCGCTCTCTGCCACGAGAGGATACAGCCAGCTGCCAGCCCGGCATGGGCCAGGAGGAGACCCAAGCAGACCCAGACTGTGCTACACCAGGGTCCCACGCTGCCAGGTCCAGAGCCTAGGGAAACACGCTGTGATTCAAGCCATGACACTGCCTTCTACAGCAGCCTGAACTAAGACACCATGGGGAAAAGCCTCTCGGGCTGCACGTCCATGGCACCTCCCTCTCTACAGTGTACTCCGTCCGTACTTTCGTGTCTGTGCATTTTTGAGACAGGGTCTCCCTATGCAGCCCAGGCCAGCCTTGAACTCACCCTGTAGCCAGGAGGGGCTTGAACTCGCAGTGACCCTCCTGCCCCCGCCTCCCAGTGTTGGGGTTAGAGGGCTGCCGTACCACACCTGGTTGAACGTAGATTTGACCATTTGCTGGGGGAGAGCGCTGGCTGCTTAAAGCGGGAGGAGGTGGGGCAGGTGAGGCTCAGGGAGATCCCGAAATCACAGCAACGCAGGGCTCCTGGGCCCACACTGAGGCTTCCGGCACCATAACCCCACGACATGCTCCCCCAGCTCACAAAAGACGAGCTACACTGTTGTTGGCTCAGCCGGGAAGAACAAGAGCAGAAGGCCCCGACCCAAGGCCACACTCAGAAGAAAACTCATCATGACAAACTTCCACTAAACCACCCCAGCTGGGAGCACTGGAGGAGGAGTCTCGGGCAGGCCAGGCCAGGCCAGTGCTGAGGGCCGAGGCTGCTCTCCCTCCTTCCCCAGAGCAGCTCCATGGTGCCACCACACCGAGCTCCGTGTGGACACCGTGTCCCCCACGTCCTTAGCTCTCGACCTGAGGCCGTCGCTAACCCTTCCACGCCTCCGTGGCCGTCCTCAGCAGGGAGAAGACCTCTACCTCATCCTTGGAGCGAGCTAAGCCACACACACAGTGCCTGGCACAGGGCTGGGAAAGAAACTAGTTACCCAGTAAGCAGTGTTACCCAGCAAGGGTGGCTCTTGCAAGCAGGGAGCACAGCCTGTGATGCACTTCAGGGAAGGCCGGAAGTGGCGCTCACAGCCCAGTGGTGCCATGCTGTCCTCCGGGCCCTGTGTCCAGAGATGGCAGGCCCTGCACACATCCTGGCCCTCGTCCTTGCTGGCCGCGTCACCGTGGTGGGCCCCAGCTGATGACTTATCCCACCTTTTGAGTGCTCTCAAAAGGTCATCACTGCCGCCCAACACACACCCAGCCCAGGTGACCTCTGCCCTCGTCACCCTCCTGAGCCATGGCCCCGGTGCTCTCTGTGCCTGACCCACTGTTCTCCCCATCAGAAGTCCCACCGGACCCCAGGGCAGCGCCACCTCTCCTGTGAGTGTGGCTCAGCTCTGCAAGTCTCCCCCAGTGTGGCTCAGCCTGCCCTGAGGGAGTCATGGTACATGGGGGCCGCAGCCGGGGACCGTGTGTTTCCTGGTCCTGCGTGGTGGTGGGGAGGCTGACACTTCGCGGATGGAGAGTGGCTGTCAGACAGCAGCCGTGGAACCTTCCACCTCGTGACTTTGCCCCACCTCGGCTTCCCCACTCCTGTCCCCAATCCCCCAGGCCTGCCCAGTCACGTCCTGTGACCGGTTAGGGTCTGTCTCCCATCAGCTCCCATCAGCTCCCTGCAGCGGGTTCCACTGAAGCTCTGCACCCTCCCAGCGCCGTGCACTCTGGCTCCTCTTTCCTTCACAGCTCACATCTGCCCACACGGACGCATCGCCACTTCCAAGCTGCACGAGTTGTCTCATCTTTCATGATCCAGCGTCTGTCACCCACAGCTGACTGCAGTGGTCACTTCCTATCCTCCCCCCGCTTCCCCCACCACCTCTGAGTCCCCTCACCACATGCATCCAGGATGATTCCTTAAATGCATGCTGAATATTTCCAACCCCACATTCCCATATACAGAAGATATAAAGAACATTAAAAACTCAACGGTAAGAAAAACAAACTCAAGTAAAATAAAAGCCTCAGACTCAAGTGCTAGTGACAGAGCAGATACAAGGACAGGAAACACACAGGAAATGGTATTCAACGTCACGATCAAACTACAGCAACGCCGGCTCAAACCGTGCTGAGGTCCCCTGAGCCATCGGAGTGCAACACAATTAAAACACTGCTAGTGCTTGGTGCTGACTGGGCCGCTGGCACCATCCTGCTGGAAGAGGGGGTGGAAAGTCCACACCTCCTGAGAAGCCAGATGTCCAGCACCATGATTCTGGGGCATTCCCCTGAGAGAAGGGAATGCCTGTGTCCTCACATACACCAGAGCACGAGTGTGTGAGTGGCTCTGTTCTAACCTTGCAGCTGGAGAAACCCTGTGTCCCTCCAGGACAGACAGAGAATCTGTGGTCCACCCCTGCACCAGCCCTGGCCCAGCAATGGCCCAAAGGGACCATGGACACCCGACACATGGGGGACCTCAGAAAGCGTCAGGTGGAGGGCAGGAAGCCACCGCAGAGGGTCACATGCTGTGTGCCCTCCACTCCAATGGCATTCTAGAAAAGCAACGTCAGACGTGGCATTCCTGAAAAGATAACACCACAGCAACAGACAGCAGGCCCGTGGCCAGCAGGGGTCAGAGAAGGGCATCTGTGACCTCCAAGGACAGCAGCTGGAGCTGCAGGACTGCTGGGGTCTTCTCTGCATGGCAGCAGCTGTGTGAATCAATACTTGTGCTCAGTCACGGAATGTACACCCAGAGTCGACTTTACCACGTGACAGTGTAAAAATAAACTCAATGGAAAGAGCAGTCAAGCCGTGTAGGCCCCTCCTTAAAACCTCCAGTTGGAAGAGACGCCAACCCCTCCACAGCTGATGCAGCAGGCTCGGCTTCGGGGGCGCCCCAGACCCCATCCATACCTGCTTTCCTGAGGCGGCTCGCTGTCCCCTCTGCCTTTCTCCAAAATTTCCACAACCCACTCTAAGCTTCGTGGCTCCGCTCCAAATCAGCTCGTCACGGAGAGCTTCTCTAACTGGCTGTCGCACCGTGGCCTCTTCCTGTCACGTCTTCCAGCACACTCATCGCTGAGTGGCACTGCTCTACATTGGGTCTGTGGCTTTCAGGCTGTAAGACCCGGGATGGGAGGGACCCTGTCCACGCTGCTCACCAGCGGGCTTCCCCGTCCAGAATGCCAAGCAGGGGACTGCGTAAGCAGGTGAGGAACGAGGGAGGGAATAAACCCACGACACCACCGCTCAGCCTGGAGCTGCGACGTTAGCTCCCGTGTTTCTTCAGCTCACCCGGCACAGCCTCTGCCCACTCCGCCCCTGAGTAGAGCAGCCCCGGCTCGGAATATTCCACGTACAGCCTGCAGCTCAATGCCCTTTCCAAGCGCAGCCTCCTGGAGCCAGGGAGGCGAGGGACACGGAACAAGCTCTGCCTCGGGAGGGTCCCATGGGCCTGCCAGCCAGCTGAGGTGCCACTGCCTTGCAAGGGAGCTGGGGGAGAGGAAAGCTCACGAGGCCGCCTGCAGTGCCTTTCCATGGAGCACGATGACCGAGCACCTGTAGGCCCCAGGGACGCTGAGCAGGCCCTCAGTCAATGCCCGGGCAGCCTGCAGGCCAGTCCTCGGAATCCCCTTTTCATGAGCAATGACACTGAACACAGGCTCAGGGACAGAGCCAGTGACGGGAACATCCAGTATTTTAGGTCAGCACGGCTCCAGCCCCACCCTTCTCCACGGAGGTAGGACACACCCTCTCCGATTGGAGGAGCTCTCAGAGAGCGGCAGAGACAAGCCAGGGAGAGCAAGGTGCCCTCACCTTCCAGCCACCATCCACGCAGCCCTGCCCTGTGACACTGCTGGCCCAGAGGCGTCCATAATCTCCAGCTCCTTCCCCTACAGGGTCACTTGAAATGCTGTGACACATGCACCGGGATGAGAGCTGTTCAGGCTCAGAAACTCTGCCACAGGGAGACGGCCAGGCCAGCAGGTGCCAAGGCAGCCCCGCAGAGGCAGGGCAAGGGGGGACCCCGACAGCGGCAGGTGGAGCCGCTCCCCTATTCCTTCAGTCTTCTGCACATCAGGAGCACGGCACCCACCTCTCAGGGCCACGTGCATAGAAACCGCGCCCAGTGCATTCGGGGAATGAGTAGTGCCAGGGTATTTTCAGCTGTACGCGATTTTCACACCATACTCCGAAGATCTAGAACCCGAAGAGCCATCAGGCGCAGCCCTGGGCACGCTGGCTTCCTCTCATTTACTCTTCTTGTGAATAAGCAAGAAATCTGAGACCTGGCAGGGAAGTGAAGGCTGCAAAGTTCCCCTCTGCCACTTCGACAGCGAGCGCGTGGCAGGGCCTCCCCTCTGCGGCTCCGGGGCCAGCACTGCTTCCCCGGCTCACCCAGAGCTGCCCGGTGACCTCCACCCACCACTGCCAGCCTTGGTTCCAGCCCTGCAGAGTGACGACAGCGCTTCTTCCCTAGGACAGGCATCTGAGCGCCCAAAGCCCCGTGCTGGGGTGATCCTTCCCAGATGTTCGAAGAGTTAGGTACCAGCACCGGGCTTTCAAGGAATGACCTGATGGTCTTTATTTCTGGGTCACTATTTCTGCCAAGCCTAAAGACCGACATCCACTCCCCATCACACAGCTTCAGCAATTAATCAAACCAGCACTTCCATTGCGGCATCCTGAAAACATGCACCTCAGCCGGGGAGACAAAGACCAGAACCCAAGTGCCGTGCAGCCAGCGCACTTATGGTGGCACAGACGAGGTGCCAGCCACTCATGGGGTGAGACACGGGGTCCCAGCCCACTTCCTGGGAGGCCCCACGTCAGACCCCGCTTCCCCCAGCCCCCTCTGGGAAAATGGCCAGGTCTCACTCTTGGTGGCTAGCTGCCCTCCACATCTCTGACAGGTGCTACGATGTCCCCGATGTCCTCCCTAGCCTCCTGCACCCCAAAGTGCCCTGGAGGTAGGGGTAACTAAATTCAGGTCACCTCAAAGTTCTCAAAGGGATGGTTTTTAAAATTCATAATAACAATACCATTTCACATTCCCAACACAAGGGACTTGGTCTCCATTTCTTGCCATATTCCAACTTCCTGGATGACATGAAAAACCCCCCATTTCTCAGCTCCACATGGAGGAGCCGGGTCCAAAGGTCCGCAGGGCCCCTCCCAAGCCGGGCACACTGACCTGCAGCCGTCCAGACAGTGAACCGGTGAGCCGCACTGATCCGGTCTCAGAGCCAGCGCATGATTTCCAGTACAAAGAGGTGCGTGTGAGGAGGTAAGGCAGACCCGGGCTCCAGGCCAAGTGCCACAGGGTCTTGGCTTTGCTGCCACCCAGAATGTCATCTGCATGGCTTGCACACCAGCATGAGCATTTCCCAGGAGGGTGATCCCCAGTCCCCGGCGAGTCACTCAGCCACCACCAGCCTTGGTTCTCACCTCTACAGAGTGGAGCAAACTTTGGCCCTCCTAGGAGTGTGGGGGAGAGCCGTGGTTAAAGGGGATGTGACCCGCGGGCACCCAGGGCACACGGCTGCATGCCTCTCTATTCAAGCATCCGTAGACCTCAAATCCACTCACTTACCAGCCTCTGATTCCCAAACTCATCACATGCCAAAGCAGACGGCCAGAGCTGCAGAGGCTCGGAAAACCAGCCCCTCCAACTTCCTGCCTCTACAACCTACAATGAGGACTCAGGACCTGCGTGCTCTTCCATGGCCAAGCCTGGCCTGAAGCACTGGTAGCGGAGGCCAAGGGTCACACAAGACGCAGAAAGCACGCTATGTATGCTCCATTGTCCCCAAAGAATTCACCCCCACTACACACACATATCACCCAGCTCTGAAAAACCACCATTGCAGACCTTTTTCTTTATGTCAATTTTAGCGAGTCACAGAAGAGAGGTGACGGGCACAGCCTGTCCATAACTGCAAGGACCCTCTGAGTTTCCTGTGACACACAGGCCAGCCTGCCTTCGTGCAGCCATTCCCAGGGGCTCGGTGCCCACGTCCACCCCAGTGTGCTGGCACGGGGCCTTTTTTGAACAAGGGAGAAGCTTCAGGTGCGGCAATCGCCCACAGCTCACTGAACACCAGGGAGAAAACCCCCACTGCAGTGCTGCCCACCCAAGAGGACCCCTTGCCCCACCAGAGCCCCAGCCTGCACCACTTGGGAAAGGGCGGGATTTGACAGCTCAAAGGTCAGGGACTCCCTCCAACATGACCAAAATGCCAGAGGCCATTCAGGAATTTCTGGCGAAGCCTCAGCCCAGAGCACCTGAGACCCAGCACCAAGGCCCAGTCCAGACAATGTAAGGAGGGGCCTGGTTTGTGGATGGCTCCGGAGACCCCCGACCAGCCACGCTGGCTGCCTCCCAGTAGTGCAGAGCCCCGGAGCTGGCATTTCTCTTCAGGGTGCCCTGACAGCCAGCTGCACCGGAACATTCTGCCCGCAGCTCCTCCCGAGCATCTGCCGGAACCTGGAGGGTCCCAACTCAAGCTTCACAGCCTCACAGTGTGTGCTGAGCCTGACACCAGAGAGGGAAGCCACAGGCCCAGAGCCACCCTGACCACCCTCAGCCTAGGGCTGTTTTGCAGCCTGTGCCAGCCTCCCACGAACCCTGGGCTCACCTCCCAGCTCTGAAGGTTCCACCAGGAGGGATGACACGCAGCAGCAGGTGGCAGCTCAGTGATTCATCAGGGGGACCTGGCACTGTGGCCATCCCAGGTGGCAGGAACTTTGAAAGGGCTCCCTTTTCTCTGAAGATTGCTCCTCCTCCTCCCCCTCCTCCTCCACTAGCTCAGCCTCCGCCTCCCCTCCTCCTCCCCCTCCCCCTCCTCTGTAGTACTACAGGGACACGTGCTTTGTGCTCTGCTTGGAGGAGGAGAGCGTGGCAGTTTATTGGAAGGAGAAAAGAACAGTCTGCTGTGCCCTGCTCCACACTCACACCTAGCAGAAGACAGCTGAGGAGAGAGAGAGAGAGAGGTGCCAGGGAATGATTAACTCTTGTGCTCCAGCTCAGCAGCAAGGGAAACAATACACTTAACCAATGGAGTGCCAGCTCAAGACATTACATCATCTACCAGCACCCTCATTGGCTAAGAATTCCTAGAAGGAGAAATTCTGCGTGCAGGTGCTTAACCATTTCACCATCACAGCAAAGGGGACCTGCTTTGCACCGGTGGGTCCTGAACTCGCTCTAATCAGAAGCAGCCAGGGTGCTTTCTGGACATGGAGAGTGTCAGCTCCAGCCAGACCTTCAGAGGGCAGCACTGGTGATCCAAACAGCGCGCTCAGAACCTCCTCCTCACCGCACCCAGCTCTTCACCGCTTACAGGGATTTCCTGCTCCGAGCTGTGGGCATCACTGACCCCGCGCCACAAGTGTAAGAGGCAGGCTCGGCTCTCAGTGCTTCCAGGGTTATAGAAAATGCAGGTGCTCTCCACCAGCTGGAAAGTGCAGTGAGCCGAGAAGGGCTGGGGATAAAACGGAGAGTTCCCAGAGGAGCAACCACCCGCCCTCTGCTTCAGCGCAGATCTCTGAGGGTGGGGTCACCATCGCTGTCCCCACACCTGGGACAGCTGTCCCTGCCCTGAACCTCAGGCCCTGATCTGTGGGTTGCAGGTGCATCTTTGCCGGCCAAGACCCTGGGATTAGAGCCACACCTGCCTTCCTACCAGCAGATGCCCAACTCAGCACCGACGGTGAGGGAGAGAGTGGGCGAGGCACTTGCGGCGGGTTCGAGGGGGACAGGGAGGCCCGGAGGCCCACAAGAGAAACCACCTGACCTTGGGGACACGGCACCTACATATTAAAGAAAGCCCAGCCCTGTGCGCTGCACTGTCTGTCCGCAGGATCATCTGTGCTCCTGACCGCGGACACCCAGGGCTGCCGGCACCGCCGGGCATGTAGCCGGTGCCTGACTGCGCACAGCTGCTGGTTGGGCACACAGGAAGAAGGGTTTCGGCTTCCTACCAGGCACGCAGCCTACGCCCCAGCAATGTCCTCCATTAAGGGAAAGGTGCTCCCATCCAACCAATCTTTTGTTTTTTCAAAGTGAGGCGATAACTACGTAGCTCAAAGACATATTCAGTGGCATTTAGTAGCTTTACGACATGCGCACCCACCACCTCTGTCTAAATCATCTTCATCACCCCGAAAGGAGACCACACCCTATGACCCTTTCCCCAGCACCTGGCAGGCACCGCACCTCTGTGGATTTCATACTCCGGGTACCTCTCAGGAAGGCAGCCCACAAC